ATGACGTTGACTCCCGCATTCTGAAGGAAATTCCTTGTCAAAATTGCTGTGTGGGGTCTGGCATTGTCGTGTTGGAAGATCAAACCGGGTCCATGTGCTGCCATAAAAGGCAGAAGTTCTGGTGCCAGTACCTGGTCGCGGTAAGCAGCAGCGTTGAGGTTGCCACGGATGACAAGAAGCCTGGAACGTGCATTGCCACAGCAAGCACCCCACACCATGACACTTCCGCCTCGAAATCTGTCAACTTCCTGTAGACAACACTGGGCGTAACGTTCATGACGGCGCCTCCACACCCTCGCCCTACCATCAGCAAATCGAAGATTAAATCGGGATTCATCACTGAAGGCGCTTGATTCCAATTCCTCTTAGTCCATCGTAAGTGTCGCTGTGCCCACAATTGACGTTGACGTCTGTGTAATTGAGTCAGAATCGGCCCGCAGTATGGCCGTCGTGCTTGAAGGTGAGCAGTTCTCAGGCGGTTTCGAACAGTTTGCGCACTCAGTCTACCCCTAAACAGTTCATTTCTGTAAATCATAAACAGTCCGTCGACTACAAACCATCGTCCTTGCGACTTCAGCTACGGACGTTCCCGTCTGCAACATGCCGATGGCACGTTCACGTTGCACATTTGAAAGGCGTGGCATGACAAATGGCCGTAAAGACTTTTGTTTTCTTGTGTTTTTCTTTTTTTGTTAATGACTGCTAACAAGTATGGCTGAAAACACGTGAGGTATTATGGCCACGTGACCAGTTGCACGTGAAAAAACACTTTTGCCACTATAGTGCTGTGCACATGATTTTGATCGATTCTCCCGCACAAAAACGGGTGTTATCTGAAGACAATACGTGGCCATTACTGTTTAAATACACAATAAGGGCCCACAATGATAAATGATCAAAATGTTAAAATTTTAGGATTGTGAAGTTTTAATTTGGTTCAGTTTATATATAATAAAGTATCAGTCTTGAGAAATATTTGACATACATACAGATTTACGGTTAAATATATCTTGATAAGCAAATCAGTAATATATATATATATATATAAAAGATATGATGAATATGGATTCTTCCATACTTTATTCTTAACTTCCCTCGAAAAAAGATGTTACTCATGGTTGTCTTTTCCTCTTGGGGATTGCAACAATTATGCGCGGTAAGTTGGAAACTTACTACTTAAAAATATATATTTTTACAGCTACAGCCTCGAAACCAGATATTGTTTAATATAAAACTGAACTTAAACATCGTGCAACAATATAAAATTTGCGCGTTCATGCACGTCGCTACATTAGTGCAATAATCTTTGACGCGACGTTAAACCCCATATTACACCGCCTCACCTACGGTCCTCTATCTCTGTTGTGTAGTTGAGCTTGGAATATCTTTTTTCGAGCAACGATCCATTGCATTTCATACCATTTCTGCAAGTGCTTTTTTACGGCTCCCAGAAAAAAAATATGTAAAGAGATTACATAGAGTTTCCAAATCAACGGGTTGGGTTTTGAACCTTACGTTTGTACTGTTCGGTGACTGTTTACAGCCTGGTGACGAATTGATAAATTTTGAAATTATTTGGCCACATCTATTTTTCAAGTGTATACTTGCTTTTGCCCTACAGTTCATTTCCATACTATTTCTAACTGTAAACATCACTTGATGACTTCAATTACATGGACCGTGTTTCAAACGCCTCCCTGAGGGTTTGTTTCCGTTTGGCTTATCTTACAGACTCTTTATTTTTCAGTTGTTTTCAATGTGAAGTCGATGTAAATACAAATATTGATTATAAAGGAAAATAAGTACAATACATTTCTGATGAAATATAAGAAACCGAATAGATAGACATGCATAACTGCAGTTAAACAATCATACCGGTGACTGGTTTGTAAAGAAAAGCAAATTTAAAATATTGGTTGAACAAAAAGTTTGTTTTTGTCCGACCTTTTCTTTTGTCTAACCAGAGAATATGTCAGTGAATGCAAAACTTCTCACCTGGTAGAATGTTATAAGCGCAATATCTCCCCAGCCTTGCCCTGTCTGCCGGTGTGTTACAATCCTGAGTCATATAGGAAATTTTCATTATTATAAATTTATAATCATTATATTACAGAATGATAGAAAAATTCTAATTATGAGCAGATGATAAACTGTTGAAAATTATCTGGGAAATGTGAGTCATATGGTCAGACGAAGAGAGTGTCACTACGGAAATACTGATGCGTCAGCAAATATGGGGTGGGTGGGTCTGGAAGAGGAAGTAGAATTTGGATAAGATTGTTTGTAAAACGTTGTTGAGGAAGATTTAGAACTTGGAAGAAAGGAGGAAGAATGTTTTTGTTAAAGAAGTAGAAGAGGTGAGGTGAAATTGGGTTTCACGTCGCGTCCAAGATTATTGCACTTGTATAACGACGTGCATGCACGTGTGTGTGTGGCTGCTTGTACTAGTCCGGACTGATGATGATTTACAGTGCTAGTCCATTGAGATACCATCAGCAGTTTAACATGAATACCCCACTCAGACAGTATATGACTCTGAGCCTACCAGTTGCTGTTTAATGGTGTGTTTTTTATGAAAGTAGGACAAATAATTTAATAGTGTTGTTTTGTCAGGTAGATTTGGAGATAAACTTAGATCCCACCTTACCCGTGAAGATCCGGGTTGGAATAGCAATGTTTTTAGCAAATCATGCCTGTCTTAAAAGGCGACTATGCTTGTCGTAAGAGGCGACTAACGCGATCGGGTGGTCAGGCTCGCTGACTTGGTTGATGCATGTCATTGTATCCCATCTGCGTAGATCGATGCTCATGATGTCAATCACTGGAAGGGCTGGTCCAGACTCGATTATTTATAGACCGCCGTGAAGTAGGTTGAATATTCCTGAGTGCGGCATCAAACAAATAATCAGTTGGTCAGTAAACAGTCCTTTGCTAATGACAACTGACTGACATCTTGTTTAATTATCCTCGCGAAAATGGTTCGCCTATAAAGCGTGATCTTAGAGGAGGAAATTAAAGTTCCTCAAACAATGGGATCAACCGTATTTTGGAAAGTTCCCCCTTGACTTTGATAACGCCAGAGCTGATGAATGCACTTTTCTTGGATGCCAACCGCCGCACATAATTGAATCTGACCCTTATAGTGAATGAGTGAGTTCCGTTTTACGCCAGGAATGGACTGGACCACATAAACCAGCGACACAAAGCATAAGGACCACATGTGGCTTGAACCACAACTATAAGAAGTTGATGAATCCACTTCCCCCCTCTGCTTATATTGGACTTATTGTAGTGAGTGAGTGAGTTGGGTTTAACGCCGCTTTTAACAGTCTTCAAGTTATATCGCAGCTTGTCAGCTTAATGTCGGAGGAAAGCCCGAAGTGATACAGGTCTCAGACGTTTACCACTTCGGTGAAACCCACGAGCACGGGTATGGTGCTGACAAACCTAGAAAAATAATCGGGGCGAACCGGGATTCGAACCCACAATCATAGGTTTCTGGCGTGCCCAAGGGACGCAACTCTAAACAGCGAATCGCGGCGTCTTAGACGACTGGGCCACCCGTGCCCCCCGGACTTATTGTAATGCGCATGTCCAATTTAGTGGGGACAAAATAAACATAGTGTACGTAAGTGTGGGTAATTGTAGTGGTGGTTAAAACAGTTGCCAAATTATTTGTAGTAAATGGCAGTGACAGCAAATGCTTGAACTACCAGTGAAAAAGTATCAGTCGCTGTCGAGGCCAAATTTGAACAGAAGTCAACAGCAGAAACATTCGTGACCAACTCGTGTTATTCCGGGACAAACCGAATAGCGACTCGTGCCCCTCTCGGGGCCATTTTTGCGACCGGGTTCCGTCTTAGCGCAAACGGGCATACCTAGAACAATTGTCAACTCGTTGCGTAATCGTTCACACATTTTCCCAATATATTATATATATTTCAGATGCAATTTAAAGCACATCGGGACGTGCGGAATTATACAGTATGATTGAACACATTTACCTGTGTCTTTGGTATATTTTTAGATGCAAGACATATGTAAAATCAAAAATTATTTCTGAGGGATTCTTTGACGAAGAATTTGAAATCATACGCGCATTCTGATTGGTTTGTCGTATTTTCGCACATAACATTCATCGATAGTGGGGACGAGTCTTCTTGTAGGTTACGGAAAGGGGCGAGTGGTGACGAATGCAGCAGAAAGTGGAGCTTTCAGAATGATTTTGTGCAGGACCTAGAGTTATGTGCCCTTGCTGTATACATAAACATGGCAGGCTTGATCGTTTTAAACGTTTCTGGATGGGACAGCTTCTAAAAGGCTGGTAGTACCAATATAAAAGCGAGAAGAGGGCGATTGGTTGTAGTTCGCCCTGAATTGTTTCTTATATACTAATCGCAGTTATGACCTATTTGGAAACACTGATTTCCTGACAGCTTCCCACACTATTCTGGATTCAGGAACATCAGTTCTAGGGCAAAATTTATGTATTGCTGCTGCCACCTATTTGTATTGCTGTTTTATTGTAACTGTGTGTTTAAATATGTTTATTGTCGTAATCATTTCAATTTTAAAAAGGGGGCACGGGTGGATCAGTCGTCTAAGGCACCACGATTCGCTGTGCAGAGTTGCGTCCCTTGGGCACGCCAGAAACCTATGATTGTGGGTTCGAATCCCGGTTCGCCCCGATTATGTTTCTAGGTTTGTCAGCACCATCCCCGTGCTCGTGGGTTTCACCGAAGTGGTAAACGTCTGAGACCTGCATCACTTCGGGCTTTCCTCCCACATTAAGCTGACACGCCGTGATATAACTGGAATAATGTTAAAACCGGCGTTAAACCCAACTCACTCACTCACTCAATTTGAAAAACAACTCGTTGGACTAAGCAATCGTTATTTTAATCTTATATCAATATGATAACTCTGCCTCTTCAAAATACATAAACATCAAAATTGTGCCCATCTATAAACTGTTTCGGAACAATGACAACAAACAAGTGGATAGTAAAAGGTGAATATTTTATGTGCAGTGAAAGGGGTTATAGCTCTCTCACTACTCATGGCTGGTTTCTGGGTGCATGACCAGCAGAGTGAACACCGGGGTTTGCCAGTGGATGTAGAGAACCTCCACCCAATACTTCCAGATCTAGAACAGAATAACATCATAACGTCAGCAGCTGAAAGTAATCCATCTGCCAAGAGTCATCCTCGAGAAAATTAAATCTTTTCAAGGAGATATATTTCATTAATGTTGCGTTACCTTCAATGAGATTTGAAGGCGTTGGGGCCACAGAAAGCGTAGTCCGTTAAGCATAGTGTCTTTAAAAAGTGCCGATATTGGTGAGTGAGTGAGTGAGTGAGTGAGTGAGTGATTGAGTGGGTGGGTGGGTGGGTGAGTGATTGAGTGAGTGAGTGAGTGAGTGAGTGAGTGAGTGAGTGAGTAGAGTTTTAGCAATATTCTAGCAATATCATGGTGGTGAAACACTAGCAATGGACTTAACGCAAATTTTGTGCTCTCTGATCATGATGTGCAACGATTATATTCAGATACATCAAGCACCTCGTGCACATAGTGCCCATGACTGCATGCCTCTGTCCGTTCATCGTGACATTGAGGTGCACATAGTGCCCATGACTGCATGCCTCTGTCCGTTCATCGTGACATTGAGGTGCACATAGTGCCCATGACTGCATGCCTCTGTCCGTTCATCGTGACGTTGAGGTGCACATAGTGCCCATGACTGCATGCCTCTGTCCGTTCATCGTGACGTTGAGGTGCACATAGTGCCCATGACTGCATGCCTCTGTCCGTTCATCGTGACATTGAGGTGCACATAGTGCCCATGACTGCATGCCTCTGTCCGTTCATCGTGACATTGAGGTGCACATTGTGCCCATGACTGCATGCCTCTGTCGGTTCATCGTGACATGGAGGTGCACATAGTGCCCATGACTGCATGCCTCTGTCCGTTCATCGTGACATTGAGGTGCACATAGTGCCCATGACTGCATGCCTCTGTCCGTTCATCGTGACATTGAGGTGCACATAGAGCCCATGACTGCATGCCTCTGTCCGTTCATCGTGACATTGAGGTACACATAGTGCCCATGACTGCATGCCTCTGTCCGTTCATCGTGACATTGAGGTGCACATAGTGCCCATGACTGCATGCCTCTGTCCGTTCATCGTGACATTGAGGTGCACATTGTGCCCATGACTGCATGCCTCTGTCCGTTCATCGTGACATTGAGGTCCTGTAGAGGTCACCCAATCATTGTGTACAGTGATATTTCAATCTTTATTTGTTGGATGATTTTTTTTATTTCATGAAAATTTGATCCTCTGCAAATTTTGAGTGGTATAAAGTATGAATAAGTCGTATTGCTGTGTCTGGGGCCACCTTGACAAGGACAATTTTTGTCATAATAAAGTAATCGATTTACGAAGTGCAGATATTACACCGTTCGAGACCAGCGTGTACATGTAGATGATATCCCGTAGCTCGAGACCAGCGTGTAGATAGTAGACCATAGTTCGAGACAACTATGCAGATATTAGACCGTGGTTCGAGACATGTATGCAGATATTAGCCCGTGCAATAATGCACGCTGAAGTAGTTCATAACTGATGCTGAGAACCTCCACCCAATTCTTCCAGATCTGGGAAACAGGAAAACAGCTGGTCAGCAGCTGAATCTAAGCCACCTGCCAAGAATCAATCCCAGAAAGGGAACTCTTTTCCAGGAATATAGATATTTATTTTTTTATTTTTGCATTACCTTGAATTCAGTGAAACTTCATTAACTTGATGCCGTTGGGACCAGGCATGTCGATAATGGAGAGTGAGTGAGTGAATGATTGAGTAGGCAGTTATGTTATAATAAACTTATAGCGACAACCGTTACACCATTACATAGTTCTAACCAAGTTTGCACATATTTGCACTGTAGATCGAGATTAACCTGTAGATATCAGATCGTAGTTCGAGACTAGTGTGCAGTTATTCAGACCATAGTTCGAGGCTAGCATGCATATATTAGACCGTAGTTCGAGACAAGTGTGCAGGTATTAGCCCGACGTGACCGCAGGTGCAAATGATGCTGTCTGTATCTGAAACCTCTGTGTACAGAATGCAAGCTGAATCCTACCGACGCTCCTTCTGGCACTGGGCAGTCGAATGGCGTGGCGTTCTGGTTGACGGGGGAGTTCATGCAGGCAGACTCTCCCATTGTCAGGTCCATGCGGAATATTTCCCCAGTTACCACCTGAAAACAACACAACTGGTCCTCACACACCCATGTTAAACTGCATTTAGTGTCACTGCATTATTTCGTCATCAATAAAAGTAAAACAAACCAGCTTGTGAACATAGATCAACTGAACGCGAAGGGGAAATCACCTGCATTATTACCCCGTTTATCACCAGAAAACTACAAAACATATTCCCATCTTTAGCTGAGGTGGCGATGAGGTAAAATGGGGTTTAACGTCAATATTAATACATTTTTTAGTGACGTGAATGCAGTTATATCATCATGTATCAGCTTAACGTGAGAGGAAAGCCCAAATTGATGCACGTATAGGCACTAACAAATGGGTATCGTTCTGATTAGCCATCCTAAAATCATATGCAGGACGAACCTGAAATTTGAACCAGCGATCAAAGGATTGCAGCAGGCTTAAGAGACGCAGAGCAACCTGCGCCTCGTGTGTCGATACAAAGTCTACTTAATGCAGTGTTTGCGGGGTTAGTGTGTTGAGGGGGTTTGGGATTGAAGGGGGTCAAGTATAGTCCCTACCTGTGTCGTGGCATTGCCAGCCGAAAGAAGCGTGAACCAGTCTTCCGAGTTGCTCTGGGCGTTGATTTCGTTGCAGGCAAAGTTGGCAGCATCGAAGACGTCACCTGTCACATTAGTAGGCTTTTGCCGTCCTCCCTGGCAGGACACGGACGCTCCAAGAGAAGAGTGAAAGTAGCTGAGCATGTTAACGAAACGTTTGGAGAACAAAAGGAAAAGTCAAAAGAGTGTTCTAGGTTGAATAGGTTGGTTCAAGTTATTTTGGAGAAGTCTTCTTCCCAAAATCAAACGATTTATTTAACTTCTGGGTGGTTGGTTGGTTTGTTGTTTAACGCCGCACTCAGGGATATTCCAGCTATATGAAGGCGGTCTGTAAATAATCGAGTCTGGACCAGACAATCCAGTGATTAATATCATGAGCATCGATCCACGCAATTGGGATCGATGACATGCATCAACCAAGTCAGCGAGCCTGGCCACCCGATCCCGTTAATCGCCTTTTACGACAAGCATAGTCGCCTTTTGCGGGAAGCATAGTCACCTTTTACGGCAAGCATGGGTTGCTGAAGACCTATTCTACCCCGGAATCTTCACGGGTCTTTTCCTTCCTAGAAGTGGTGAAACAACTTTTTACCTTTTTTAAAATAGAAATTTGACCACCTGATCATTAAAACAGAACATTATCATACGTGCAGGTTATATGCTTTTCGGGCCATGATTGCTACGGAAAATAAACATTGTGGAATTCAATTGATAGGGTACAGTAAAGGTGCTCATATAAAATATTGCTCATCAACACGAAGTCCCAAGCAGTCCAAGTTTGGGAAATACGTCTCATTTGCATAAACCGTAATGGACCCCAATTATCGATAAATCTTCAGTATTTCATATGAGGTTCAATCTTCAGGCGAACAAGGCTTGTTATTTATTGCCAAATAACCATACTATGTTTCTAAAAAGATATGCAGCTATTCAGACGCCTGCTGAACGATTTCGACTATTGACAAAATTCAAGATGGCCGCCAATTTCAAGATGACCAACAAGTTTCCGACAAATGAGTTGAGACAATGGAAGCCTTCAACTCTAAAACAGTGTGCTAGGGCGTATATGACTATAACATGACACACTAACTCACTAAAGTATAGTAAACTCTTTTAGATTTAAAAACCCTCACCGGAGCCCCCTGCAGGCCCAAAAATTCAAGATGATTAGACATGGAATATCAATACACTGTTGGTCTCTGATGACATATTTGAATGATTTCTAAACACCCTAGGATGCCTGTAGAATACTTAATCACTTGTACAAATCCAATATAATCACCAAGTATGCTAGGTGACTAAAGGTTGGTAAGGTGGGTGAGGTGGGTGAGGTGGGTAGGGTGGAAGTTCCTTGCAATCATATTGCATGCGCCTGTGTGTGGCTGCTTGTTCTAGTCCGGACCTATACCAGCGTTATTGTGCTAGCCTGCTGAAATGACATGCCGCAATGATCAGATGAGATCATACCTCAGATGCCTATAGAAATACAAGGGCTTTTGGCCCTTTTTTATAAAGATGTTCAATGTTGGTATTCCAAGTTTCGAATTAATAATGGTGCCAAGATACTGACACTGTTCAACAAAATGAATATTTTCGTTATCAATTACAAAAGGCAGAATTTCGGGTTTCTTTAAAAAAAAATCTATAATAATTTCCTTTGTCCTTTTTACAATTAGTGTAAAAATAAATAAATAAGGCAGGAAAAAGCACTCAACCTTAATGGGCAACCCATGTTTGCCGTAAAAAGCGACTATGCGTGTCGTAAAAGGCGACTAACGGGATCGGTTGGTCAGGCTCGCTGACTTGGTTGATGCATGTCATCCGCCCAAATTGTGTGGATCGATGCTCACGATATCGTTCACTGGATTGTCTGGTCCAGACTCGATTATTTACAGACCGCCGTCATATAGCTTGAATTAATAGTCATGTTAGATAATGTTTGCATAAGCTTATGATTTGGTTGGTTTGTTGTTTTACGCCGCACTTAGCAATATTCCAGCTATATGACGGCGGTCTGTAAATAAACGAGTCTGGACCAGACAATCCAGTGACTGATATCATGAGCATCGGTCCACGCAACTGGAATAGATGACATGCTTCAGCCAAGTCAGCGAGCCTGACCACCCGATCCCGTTAGTAGCTTCTTGAGACTGCATGTACATGTAAATGTACATGTAATAGTATGTGCTTATATTATCTCATTGGGTTTAACAATACTTACCAACAAGGAGAAACGAAAGCACTATCGACAACATTTTCCAAGAAACCTTTAACTTTGAAATCCGGAGTAACTGATAAGGTTATGTAAGTACGCATTATTCTGACATCATTTTGAGATAACGGTCCGCGACCTTGGCCTGTTAGGCATGTCTTTGGGATACGTCCACCTTTTCGCGAACACCTGGTATGGTCGCTATTTGATAGTGATTCATAAACACACACTTATGATATAGTCGGAATCGTACAACGGAATCTGTTGTAGCAGAGATTTCGTCTGTCTATGGAAAAAGGTTTTGTCACTTTATTTTCGTGTAGAAGGGATTGAGACCCAACTAGCTCGTATTGGTCCGCTCGAATTCTAGGTAACGTTTTCCCATATGAGAAGTGAGTGAGTGAGTATGGTTTTACGCCGCTTTTAGCAATATTCCAGCAATATCACGGCGAGGGACACCAGAAATGGGCTTCACACATTGTACCCATGTCGGGAATCGAACCCGGGTCTTCGGCGTGACGAGCGAACGCTTTAACCACTAGGCTACCCGACCGCCCCATATATGAGAAGAGATCTGAAGGACTTAAAATATGTGTTGTCAATCGAAACAAATGAGAGAGAAACACACTATATAATGTGAAGAAGAACTCATATTCGAGAGATATATGATTGGTTCGATGCATAAAAGAACATACTGTTATGTTGCGAGGACCGACGCTCATGAACGCATCACATGTGACGTCATAGATCCATGACTTGAGAAGCATCATTTGTCTCGTGCAGGATAAGCGTGTAAAGTTTGGAAATTACGTGCAGCATGTCGTGATTAGAATTAAGACACTGTGTTAACGCTTGACTGATTTGTGACTAAGTAGTACACACTGAAAACATCTCTTCTTAACGAACATACTTCATTATATGTTTCTATGGTTCACTTTCTTTTGGCGGTGAGTATATATCCACAAAATAAATAGAATATAATCCAAATGAAGCCCAGAACAATGCTAACAGATGAGGTAATGTAAACTTACCAAATCATTCCAGACTTGAGTTTCACTCCTTTTAGAATCCATTCTCAAGCGTCTGGGAGACAGACTAATACAATGCCATTTGTCAAGCATTCTTTTAATAGATAACAGAGGATGTTTCATATGACGTAGACAATTTCGAAAATATAATATAGTGACAATAAAAATGACTTAATATTTCTACCAAGATTTCAAAGAGAGCCACACGACTCTTGCTCAGAAGTTGTTTGATCAAGGTGACTACATTCAAGACCTCAGTAAAGCTTTTTAAAAGTTTAATGGTTGACATGTGGAGGACATTTCCAAATTTGACGTATCAGTGACAGAAATTATGTCTGATGCAAATCCCGATTTTGACCTGTACCACATGTTCCCGTGTTTCTTTTTCCGGCGAAATTGACTTGCCTTTGCATGTATTTGTGACGGGTGCCACCGGCGGGGCAGGACGCTTGGTATCATTACCATTAAAGTGTGATCAATAAACACATGATCATGACATAGTCGGAATCGTACAATTGATTCTGATTTATGCAGAGATTTCTACTGGATACGGAAAGGATTTTGTCGCTTAAACTTAAGTGACGAGTCGATACCCGAGAACCAGTTCCTTGTCTAGTCTTTCAAACTAATGTTATTCATGTCATATACGACAGCCAAGGCAACATGAAACTGGTCGGGTACTTTGTGTGTAAACAATGCTTTTCTAGTAGATTTTACGAGCGTTACAGCTAGGTTTTTGCTTTGTTTCACCCACAACATGTCATTGAAGAATAGCAATACAGTAAACTACGTTTATAACGAACACGCTTATAACGAACTGACGGATATAACGAACTTACTTTTTTGCCCCGACTATTTGCTGTAGATATGATGTATATATGCATATAACGAACTACGGCTATAACGAACTAAAATTAGTGGTCCCTTTGAGTTCGTTATAACCGTAGTTTACTGTACATCGATTGTTGCAATAAACACCAGTGAGAGTAAGATAGTTTATAGATAGGCGTGATTCAGCTGAATATTGCTGATTGCGGCGTTAAACACAAAGCCAAAAGGGCAGTTTGAGGTGATATTCCACATATTTTATTGACGCTTCATTTGTTGTCCCGATCCACCGGCGACGACGAAGTCCGTGGACGGCGTTTTTGACGCTTCTATTACAAAGAGAGTTTTGACGTTCTAAACACCTACACCTCTCATTCCGTTATAGATTTACAGTGTTCGTGCTTCAAGGTACGGTGTATCAAATATACTGAATATAACATAAATATAATATGTACAATTGTGGGGATATTGTTTGAAAAGGGTGCTCAATCTTCACTACCAAAAAAATCCCAATTTTGTTTCATGATCCCTTACTTTTTTTGTTCAGTATACTTACGTACTATATATTATCGCCTGAGATTTGTTAAGATCTACGCACTATGCCGCTCTTCTTCAGTGCATATGTTACATAACCAGTCACGGAGGTATCACTTAATCACTCTCACGGGCCACAAACAAAATCATTAAAAATCTAAAGCCACGCTTGTGTCGATCACATCTATCTACAATAGCAGATAAATATTTTACTCTGATTCTGAGAATACACGATTCTGGATGTTTTTCAGATTTGCTTGCTCTTTCGTAGAGGATTTTATGTCTGTTTAATACCAGCATCTGCTCTGTACAGTTAATCCATACGCTATTTCTGATTGGTTGCTTCTGTGATGGTCTGTATTGATGGAGTTAGTTGCTATTACAGTAAACTACGGTTATAACGAACACGCTTATAACGAACTGACGGATATAACGAACTTACTTTTTGGTCCCGACTTCTTGCTGTAGTCATGCTGTAGATGTGCTTATAACGAACTACGGTTATAACGAACTAAAATTAGTAGTCCCTTTGAGTTCGTTATAACCGTAGTTTACTGTAATTAGTTTTCAACACAATCACCTCCGAGGACCATGCACTTCAGCCAAAGATGCCCGGATCCCATTGGTTTCGAAGGCTTCCTGCTGGTGTATTAAAGTCTTCCACAGCAGAAATGACATCATCATCATCATTTGCATAACGCTTGGGAGACAGTTCTTTCTTCTAGTTCGGAGGTGGACATCTGAAGGTGCCCCATCGGGTGACTGTAGAGGATGGTCAATGAGTTCACTGTCATTCATGTATTGTGACATGATGTAGTTTAGATGAATCAGAATCCGCACCAGTTGTAGAACCAGGATTAGTCTCAACATCACCACTTAATAACAGAAGGACGCTACTCGTGAATTGGCAGAACTGACAGAAGTCATTGTTTACCTTGGGATGGGTCAAAGTCCACTGATAACTTGGTGTCCGAGATATCCGAAGCTGGGTCGCACAAAACACATCCCGATGTAATTGTACTAATGTACATCCAACCATAGTCACACAAAAGATCGAAAATGTCACACAGAATATGCGGTAACTGAGATCGACTCCCGAAGTCCAGTGTGTGTCAGGTGTGCACGTGTCACAATGGTCGCCATGTTGTGAGCGGGGTCGACCTGACAGGTTGAATATTCCTATCCGGGATCGCCAGAGATTCACAGAAATACCCATGATTTGTGCGTCACAGCCTTCCAGAGTCACTTAACTTACGTTTTTATGTAAGTTTGACTGGATCTTTAGATGTTTTCATTGATGATTTATGAAGAATTGAGAGCCACAGTCAATTGTGCTCTCTCTCTCTCTCTCAAGGGAGACAACAACAGACTAAGCAGATTAGAATGATATTGGTCTTTAGTGGTCTGATCTTTCGGGAGGTAGTCCACCAATAGGATTCCTTGGAATCCCCGCAATGCTCACGAGAGGTGATTAACTGGACCATTTCTGAGCAGAAGTCTTGGAACCTAGCCTGATGAAACATTTGTCATGCCAAGTTCATTCCTGTTTTCTACTCTCTCAGCAAATTTGCCTACAATAGCAGAAAGAGTGCGGCGTTAAACAACAAACAAACAAACAAACCATAGCAGAGAAGGGTAGGTGCCCGTTTTTTTCTGGAAACCTTCCGGATCTGCCCACTTTGGACCCGGCCAAAGTCCTTTCAGTTGGAGAAACTTGATGACAGAGCGGTAGCAATTTGTTTCATTAACAGGGAATACCTAGCCTATTTGATGCCTGTAGAAATTTACCGCCTTGTTGTGTATTTGGTTCAAATGCAGCATAGAAGCACTGTACATTACATGCAAAGAGATAAGAGTGTACTTATACATCCTTCGTAGTCTCAGACCTTTTCAGCCATCCCTCGTGTGCTGTTCTGCCTTGAGGTCTCCCTGTGAAAATCGTTTCTTGGTGTCACTTTGGTCAGTACAACTTACCTTTCTCCGGATATTGTATGCACTAAGTTGGATGCTTACGAAAGAATTCACAATCGAAGTTTATAGTTTGTTTGTGTATGTGCTATTCATTGTAACTTTATTTTAAGTGTCACTACCTTTATCAACGAGCGTAGATATATTTGAGTTCAGAATGTGAATGACGTTCATGAGTCAAGGATTAATTACATTACTTTTACTTATGTGAGAGTTTATTTGTAGTGGGTGTCAGTGGCAGCAAATGACTGAAGCACTTTTAAATAACCGGATGTTGTAGTTGGCAGATGTCAACAGGAGTGAGTGAGTATGGTTTTACGCCACTTTTAGCAATATTCCAGCAATATCACGGCGGGGGACACCAGAAATGGTCTTCGGCGTGACGAGCGAACGCTTTAACCACTAGGCTACCCGTCGCCCCAATTTCAACAGGAAGTGTTCAGAGTTTATGCCCCTGGTTGTTGTAAACAAAACTAATGACAGGTTTGATCGTTCAAAAAGACTCGGAATGGGACAGTTTCTAGACGGATGGCTGTACCCTATAAGAGTGACATGATTTGAGGTCTTTTTCGACCCTCTTTGCGTCTTGGCAACTTGCCAAGTTCCAAAAAACGATCTTATCCATACAGGTATCTGCCGCGAGTCCATATGAAAGTATTGAAATACAGTTATCTTAGTGTTAACTCGCTTTGTTGGTCCAGCTGTAAACTCATTCACTTTGATTCTCCGGAGATCTGTCATGGACGCAGAAACATGTCATGGGTACCGAGAGAGCTATTCCGCATTCACTGAAGGGTCATAATTGTGTGAAATATTTCTATTTCACTATTTTGTGTCGATATTGTTACTGTTTGTGATGAACATAGTTTCTATTAGTTCATAGGTGGCACAATTCTGATGTTGGCCTGTTTTATATGAAACCTATGATAGTGGGTTCGAATCCCGGTTCGCCCCGATTATATGTTTCTAGGTTTGTCAGCACCATATCCGTGCACGTTGGTTTCACCTAAGTGATAGACGTCTGAGACCTGCATCACTTCGGGCTTTCCTCCCATATTAGCTGACACGTCGTGAGATAACTCGAACTCTGTTAAAAGCGGCGTTAAAACCTAACTCACTCATTCAAAGTTAGTCAAGTTGTAGAAGATACCTACTTGGGTGAAATGCAGGAGGGCAGTTGGCTGATGTCACTCGAATGATTATAGTAGTAACTTGCAAAAGTAGTTCCAAATCGAATGTTGTTGGCCCAAATTATTTCACTTGAATGATCTAGGCCATATTACGTCGGTTACAGTCACATGTAATGTAAGGAAGAGAATTTGTGGATTTCAAATGGATGTACATTTAAAAGACATAAAATTCTTACACAATGTCCTCCAATCACAGCCTGCAGATAGCTCTCGATCTGCACCGAAGGCTCCCTACGAAAACCGCACTGTCCCAACTGGTTCTGATTTGGTGTAGTAGAACCTAGAAGCCAAGTGAGGTCAAGTCATAGCCTGTTGGTCCATCTTCCGTCGTAAGCAACTTCTCGGAAACCACTGGACCAATGTAGTTACTTCACTTCACTTACTTTTTCCAACCTATTTTTTCAGTTGGTTTGAATCCGATTTTCAATAGACCAACGTCAAATTAAAAAAAATAAAAAATGGACGCCATCACATTACTCAGTCATTGTGTTCGAAATTTAATGTGGGAGACAACACACGTTCAGTTTTTGCGATCATAAATTTTGACCTTTGCGTTTTCACCACACTGGAAGATGAAACTGTTTAGGGCTATATTTAATGAGTGAGTGAGTTGGGTTTTAAGCGGCTTTTAACAGTATTCCGGTTATATCGCGGCGAGTTAGTTTAATGTTGGAAGAAAGCCCGAAGTGATGCAGGTTTCAGACGTTTACCAAGAAACCCATGAGCACGGGTATGGTGCTGACAAACCTAGAAACATAATCGGGGCGAGCCGGGATTCGAACCCACAATCATAGGTTTCTGGCGTGCCCAAGGGACGCAAGACGTATAAAGCTGGACTATGGGAACCAGTTGCATGAAGTTATGATGCATACCATTTTCAAGAAGTCCTACAAAAAGATCGACAGGCGAAAAAAGACTGGGACAGCTGTGAGACTGCTGCTTCATACATTTAAGCAAGTCTGGATGGAACGAAAGGTACATGTAGGTACACCTTTAACACAGATCTCAACACTTTTAGCAATGACATTCATCTTATTCTCTTTATCTTTGGATCAGATATGATGATTAAGATCAATCACGAATGGCTCTCTTCGTTGGAAAGATGATATTCATATTGCTAAACAATTTCCACAATCAAAAGAAACCACTACTAATAGCAGATTCATTGTGAAAAACGAACTAAAATCAGGGTAATTATAAGAAATCTGCACAAATCCATGCACAATTTTCACGCCAAGAATTACATGAAATTGATGCAGTATGGATGTATTGCAACCAAAATGAATGTTACATTTAATTAGTTATTATACTATAGGCCTATGCGGATTGAATATTAAATTGGATAGAACCTACTTACTATTTACAAGACACGGCAATTCAAAGAAACAGACTTGGCAGTCAAATGCATTTGAAATTGTGAATCAAAATTATATTCAGGTTGAAAAGTTATGACAAATTGTCAACGTCCTTTTAAGATTGTCACTATCTATTTATGAATGTAACTGAATTTCATTTTTCACTGCAACGTACATGTAGACGTCCAGCTGCTTCCATTAAAACGAATACCCCAACATGACCAGTGATCAGTGTCCAGTAGAGATACACAAACGTCTCAGGTCCAACTTTGACGAAGAGCAGTCCACCAAGAAAAGGAAACAGTGTTATTCCAACACCATTGGCCACAAAAGAAGACGATATGAGAAGAGGATGAAGAGTGACTACTTCTGAGGTTCTTGCCAAACTTGCAGCAAGTAGTGGACCGGCACACCCTCCAAGCAACGCCACGGCAATCCATAGTAGAGTCTGGTTGTTGGCAGAAGCCGATAAACTCAGAGCTGTCCCTCCCAGGATCTCTCCAAGCAGGCAGACCACAAAGAGCTGGGAGTGAGTGATGAACCTAAGTGATACTGTACTCACGCTGCGTGTTACAAGGGAGCTGATTGATATCAAAGATGTCATTGACATCATGACCGTTTTGGTCATGTGCAGATCACTATGTACGCCGTAGACGGTTAGCATGGATGACAGGAAAACAGTTGACGCTCCGATCAAGAAGAACATAAACAACAGACACACCAGAAAAATCATCTGACAGGATGTGTATCTATCTGAATCTGACACATGGTTATATGGCGTTGTTTCAGTGAATGCTTCTTGACGTTCTTTGATCCAGTAGTAGACCTGAGCCAACCCACTTGGAAGGATGAACATACCACAGATGAAATACACCCACTGCACATGCGTAGACTCTATGGGAATTCTAGAATCTAAATGTCGGTCCGGAAAGTTCTCAGTGGTCTCATTGCTTTCGAACCAGTTTTTTGAATGGTTCTGAACTTTATACACTGGTACTGCAGTGTTGAGATCAGATCCGACAGCTAGGAATGGTTCGGCCATAAGTGGAACTTGAACTGCTGCCAATGAGGAGGCACATATGATAAACTGGAAAGCGCCTCCTTTCTTGTCCCACAGCTGACTGGCAGCCTGCATTGTATCTGAAAGTAACATGACTGCAATAACAACGCTTCTATTACAAATATCTTATTTTAACAAACTACGTGAACAGTATATTTGTACAAAGGCATGTCATATGAAATCAAACTTCTATCATGATAAAACAAACATCCAACCATAGAAGCTTTGTTGAAGTAATGTTACAATGTGACAACATAACGTATACATACAGCTCTCACTTGACCCTCTGGACATTCCGTATACACAGACCAGGAAATACACCAATGGCAGTGACATGACCAGAGGTATTGCTATCATGACTGCACATCCAATTATGAGTGTTATCCCTAGCTGGAGATGGGTGGAGAATCTGGTCGCAAGGGCACCAGAGAGAACACTCCCTGCTACAGCTCCGAGTCCAAATACTAGGAACAGATACGAGAGCGAGTCCAGGTCTGTCTGCAGCAACAGCTGTAGATCCAGGAGGGTCGTGCCGAGGATACAATCGCTCATACCCTACAATACGAAGCAAAAAGCGAGGAGGTTATAATAGAACAAGCCCTGGACAGCATTTAAGTTATGTGTCTTTTCCTTTCTGGCACAGGTTTTAAATTTCTTATTGCAATGTAAAGGGCACACTGTTATCCATTAGGATAAGTACCAACAGCCTTATGTCAATAGTAAAGTTATGCAGGTGCAGTTTCAAACAGGTTCATATTGATCATTGCACTTATCAGGCTGTTCCATGTTCTAAAGATTTTGTGTTCCCTGATATGGTTTAGACATTTTGAAGAGCATGGTGAATGTCCTATTAGGTCTTCACAGTGTTTTGTTTCTGGGTGTTTGGTTCGCACCAAATCTATTGTGGCGGGGCTAATTCTTACAGCGACCCTTTTGTCTCGCCTTTCTGGATAAAATCTTAGACGTTCTCACCTTGTTATAATAAGCCCCAAACAACCAAAATGTTTGGAATAACTTGGATCGGAGAGTATGCAGCTCTGCCATCCTTGAATTAGAAAACAGAAAACGCTGTTTTAAGATAAGGTGCAACCATTAGATTTCCAGGATGGGAGGGGTGGGGTGATCAGCATTTATGTTATTAATGTTTAGGAACCCGATTACGTTGTCCAACATAACAAGGTAAATAATAAGAATAATGAACTGTATTCTTTGGACACGTGTAAAACATCAGTCAAACTGAGGCTTGGTTATATTTTCAGAGCCTAGTAGAATTGACTTGTTTTTGTGACGAGTGCCACTGCTTGGGCAGGATACCGTCACCTTTTCGTGAATACCTGACATTTTCACTCTTTGATAATGATTCATAAACATTATTATTACCCACAGGGGTTAGCAATAACCGAGTTTACAAACATTGCATGTGCACTACTGCAAATATCACTTCAATGTATTGTTTACGTCACCCCGACGGCATAGTTGACGGCACAAGTACCAGGTCGTCAACTGCTGCCTTTAATGGATATATGTTTTTTTTTCTGTTTTCATGGCGACAAGTTGGATTTTGATTATGGTGTGTACCTGACATAGAAATACAAAGTTCCGAATCCCAATTCCATACTCTTGTATACGGACAGACATACATGTATAAGATGGATTCTCTCATCAAATTAAAGTAACAGTCAGATGATTTGTTCTTTTGAATTTGTCATCTTCTGATGACCCTTGTTGTATCAGGAATGATATACTCTAATATCTTGTTATTTCAGATGCAGCTTTTACTAAGTATATCACCGGCACTATTTTCACACGGTCATGCATGTCCATCCCGATCCGTGAAGATCTAGGGTAGGATAAGTCTTCAGCAACCCATGCTTGCCGTAATTGGCGACTATGCTTGTCATAAGAGGCGACTAACGGGATCGGGTGGTCAGGCGCGCTGACTTGGTTGATGCATGTCATCGATCCCAACTGCGAGGATCGATGCTCATGATCACTCGATTATTTACAGACCGCTGTCATGTAGCTGGAATATTGCTGAGTGCGGCGTTAAACAACAAACGAACAAACATTTCCATCCGAAAACATCATGTTGATAAATGATAGTCAAACAACAACATATACATGTGTTTATGTGTCAAAGTATGGCATCAGGGCCATGGCATCTATGACATGTATCCATTCTCAGAGGTTCGTTTCAGGCGTCAAACGCGTCAATCATGCTGTAAGCAATAGAGTTGCTGCGGCCGGTTAACGCACGATTTCTCAGAAAGTTATGTTAAGCATTATTGAATGAAATCTTAAATACAATTAATGTAAAAGATTACAAACAGAAGTCAGGATATACAGTGAACACTTTATAATAAGACACTGCAATAATAAGGCTAATAAACGAACAGTAAGTACGGATGCGACGATAGGCTATCCTGCTTTGTGCTCATGGTAATTCTTTTGGAATTAATCGTAGGTAAATAGTATATCTCGTATACGGCATGAAAAGGGAGTTCTTTCGAACTGAGTGCGATGTTTCACTGTGGTTACTACTTTCTAATACTATTCTGAGTCTACGTCTCATTGCGGCATAATATAACAAAACTAGTTATGCTTGCCCTGACGCAATCTAAGTAGAAAATACGCAGAATAACTTTCGCAGCACACATACATGTACTTTAACATCTTTTATTTTTAAAATATATATTGATTTAAAACTTTAAAAAAAACGAAAACAAACTTTTTCGCATAATACACAACCACTGATTGATATCTTACACATTTAATCTTTGAAAGTTGAAAAATGTGCCTTTTCCGCATTAATTTTACAACATTTTAAGCATGGTATGGGGTCGTGTGGTTGCAAATTAATTTCCCTAATTTTATTAGGTATTATACATATTCCCTGATTTAACATCAAGTTTGTTGGACATATTCCCTGAAATTACCTTTGAGGCTCCCATATGGTCAAACTTACGAAAAACAATCGAGAAGACAAATTAATTTGACATGATAACAAATACCTTTCACTTAACGTAACAGTTAGTCTTAACTGTAATCAAAACATAGGATAGAAATGAGATTAAAATACTGTGAAATGCGGCATGCTGAATGGGTAGTTCTCTTGTAACCAGTTTGATGTTTGTGCTTCAGCATTGTACTCAACTGAAGACGTTGTCTCTGACAAGAACATGTCACTTCGACAGGCTATACAGTTTGAATCCAACTATGGAGGACAAGGTTTCACCCGGTGTAACTATGCTGGTACAAAGAAATGTCAGACCAACAGATGGAGATGTTTCAAGGCTAAGCCGCTTTGTAACCAAGTTGCCACTCAAGTCTGACATGTGTCAACAAAAACTAAATTGTTCTTGTTTGTTAAGTCAATCCTATGTTTGATGTAGCATTGTTTTGGTGACAGTAAAGACTAATGGTTAAGATAAGTGAAAGGTATTTGTTGTCATGACAAATAAATTTGTGTTCTCTTAAATAATTTGTTTTTTTTTGACCATATGAGAGCCTCAAAAGTAATTTCAGGGAATATGTCTAAAAAACTTGATGTTAAATCAGGGAAAATGTATAATACCTGAAAAATGCAGAGCCAAATTGTTCCTTTTATACCTCGTCCATTTAAGACTCACCTTGTGGAATCTGAAGAGGAACAGTTGCCTCCAACCCTGTCTCTCTCTGGCGATAAATACAGCATTTAACCATCAGGGGGCGGTCGCCCACGTTTAAACCAATAAACTGAATAAACCATATATTCATCATTTACACAATGCAATCTGGGACAGGGTTGATTTCGTGAACTGACATGTGAAATATCGGATTAATATGTAAATGCAAAAATTGTTTTACGACATGATACCAGCATGCAGAATGATCTAAATGCATATGGTCAAACACCGGTTCCAGCAGGTACTTCCAGCAAACAATTACTCTGATAAGACGATCTGGGCACAATTCACAATTCAATTAGCGCGGCTAAATAGCTGTGAGCTGCTTTGTTCCATAACGTGTATGTATATGTGAGTTATACTTTTAATAATCCATCATGTTTAAATAGTCGGTATGTTAATTGATTTCGTTAACTACGCCATTATTGCAAATAATGATCAATAATTCTTGTTATGTAATTTCATTTCGCGTCACCATTCATTCTTTGTGGTAATTCGTACTGGTATGCCACGTATATTTTTCATATTTTTTCCAAGGTAATAGCTTTCAAATATTTGACAAGATTAAAGAAACTATTTCATTGATAATCTTGTCATCTTGTAATGACAGTCATGAATGAACGATGTTACTAAGGACACGATTCAAATAGTGACAGTTATTTACACAATTCATGTCACCCGTAAAGATCCGTAAAAGGCGACAATGCTTGTCGTAAGAGTTGGTTGCTTGGTTGGTTTGTTGTTTAACGCCGCACTCAGTAATATCCAAGCTATATGACGGCGCTCTGTTAATAATCGAGTCTGGACCAGACAATCCAGTGATTGACATCAAGAGTATCGATCCACGCAATTATGATAACGGTAAGGGCCGCCGATATTGGAAATTCGTTTTAAGTGCATTTAAGTCTACACTTAACATACAAGAATGTGGTTTAATAAATGTGAAACTATATGCTCAGGTCATAAATACCTGGCATTATCAATCATTATTCTTCATGGTATATTGGGATGTAAAGTTTCCACATCAATCGTCATCGAAGAAGTGCTGCTACATTTTCATGTTGATTTCTCCTATTAACAGGAGGAGGCACATACAGTTACATTGTAGGGCCCCGAAAAAAAAGGAAGCATCAAGAGTGAAGAATCAACGTGATGCACTTAATACATATCTTCTAACTTATATCCAGTACCAGTTTTCTCCTTTGTTGCTTTTTGGAATCTACACACGAAGCATCTCATCAATTCTAATAAAAGTTGTTTATCCGTAATATCTTCGATACGTACAAGGTGGAAACAGTCTTGGATGAAGCCTTATCTGCTTTGTTTCTGACCAACACTTCGTCCACAAGAGTATCTCGTCCAGCAAAGAACACGACAAAGGACAAGGTCAAAGTGTGTTCTTACATACACAGACCAGCATTTATATATCGTACCTAAAGTACTGTAGGAGGTACTTGCTACGATGTATGTGATTGTTTTGTAAGTGTTCTAATTATTTCAGATTCGGATCTTTGCCGTGCGTAAACCACATCATCAGTCTCAGTCTGCACATCTTCCAAATGAAAAGACTACATCAAAAGATAAATCACAGTCGCTCCGTCCATGCCCTGAATCTCCTCCCAGCCAACAGTCGCTGCATCCTACCAACACCGTTTCTACTCTCCTTAACAATGTGTTTCAAGAATTCTATCACTAGCCAAACAGCACCAACAGGACACTTCGGACCAGCACCTACAGGACACTTCGGACCAGTATCTTAAGGATACTTCGGACCAGTATTTACAGGACACTTCGGACAAGCACCAACAGGACACTTCGGACCAGTATCTTCAGGACACTTCGGACCAGTATCTACAGGACACTTCGGTCCAGCAACAACAGGACACTTCGGTCCAGCAACAACAGGACACTTCGGTCCAGCACCAACAGGACACTTCGGTCCAGCAACAACAGGACACTTCGGTCCAGCACCAACAGGACACTTCGGTCCAGCAACAACAGGACACTTCGGTCCAGCAACAACAGGACACTTCGGTCCAGCAACAACAGGACACTTCGGTCCAGCACCAACAGGACACTTCGGTCCAGCACCAACAGGACACTTCGGTCCAGCACCAACAGGACACTTCGGTCCAGCACCAACAGGACACTTCGGACCAGCACCAACAGGACACTTCGGACCAGCACCAACAGGACACTTCGGACCAGTATCTTCAGGACACTTCGGACCAGTATCTACAGGACACTTCGGTCCAGCAACAACAGGACACTTCGGTCCAGCACCAACAGGACACTTCGGACCAGCACCAACAGGACACTTCGGACCAGCACCAACATGACACTTCAGACCAGCACCTGCAGGATACTTCGGACAGTACTCAGTACTCAGCAATATTCCAGCTATATGACGGCGGTCAGTACATAATCGAGTCTGGACCAGACAATTCAGTGATTGACATCATAAGCATCAATCCACGCAATTTGGATCAATGACAGGGGACCTTTCATATCTGAACCAGCATGTCAATGTTACAATATAAAATGCACTACAATTAGGAACCATATCTAACAAAATCAAAAGTTCTTAGCACAAATACATCTGCTCAGATCAGCTCAGAACAATTTCCCGGTGAATACCTCTACGGGATGTTATATATTCAAGTTCTTGTAGTCATGGCATGGTATGATTTGTGAGAGGTTTATTGTACATCTGTATTTGGTGAAGACTTCTCGCATCAAAGAGTAATATAAAACAATAGCGTATTGTGTTACAACAAGCAAACATGTTGTTTTGGTATACGAATTGTGGATGATTGTGGGTTCGAATCCCGGTTCGCCCCGATTATGTTTCTAGGTTTGTCAGCACCATACTCGTGCTCGTTGGTTTCACCGAAGTGGTAAACGTCTGAGACCTGCATCCCTTCGGGCTTTCCTCCCACATTAAGCTGACTCGCCGTGATATAACTGGAATACTGTTAAAAGCCGCGTTAAACCCAACTCACTCACTCACTATTTTCGCGCAGTGCTTATTTTCTGTCCTTCATCAATTGTCGTTCCATCCGTAATGTGTTGATGACATTGCATTCCACTAACAGACAATTTCCATCACATCTGCCAGCGTGACAGGCTTTAATTGGTAAAATGTCTTATTTATACAAATCGAAATTGACACCGTGACAAATGTGTTCAATGATTTCGTTATACTTGAATGTAAAGCATGACAATTCCGCGCGTGTCATTAACTGAATGCATATGTGGCAGTGCTATCTGACAGCTTTTATTCTGTCTGCGTGCACCATAGTCTGGAGTCAGCAAAAGTGAGAACCCTATACAGATAGCATGGTACTGATTAGTGAAATTATAACAATAATATAAGATACATGTGCTGATAGTGGGGTGTTAGAAATTTTACGAGCTCAATTGGCTTGGACACATGCGACAAAGTAAATCATTCTGGGAAATATTTGTCTGATCTACCTTGTGTCCGCTATCGACTCACGGCATGGTAATTCAGGGTGTGAACAGGGACGTCACACACCATGACCATTACATCATGACGTCGTGATGTCCGTACAGCAACCGACCTATGACCGGCCATGGTCAATCAGTCAACTAGAGTTTTAACGTGCAATGTAAATATTATGTTTAGCTATGTTCAATTGTAGTTTCCTTTATTTTGTTAGAAAGGGGACAATAAAGCAATTTTTACATGTTGAAGATTATAACGTTAATTATCCAGTAGCTGTTGATTTCCAAGCCTTATATCACTTTAGAGGAAAAACATTTCGACCAGCATAGATTGCTGGGGACAAATTCTATTCCGGGCCGTCCGGCTCGATGGATTTGTTGATTGCAATTCACCCAACGGCGTGGGACTTTGCAGATAAACAGATTTGTCTGGACAATGCACAAACAAAGAAAGAAACAAATTGAATGTCAAACCCTACCTGACTTTTGACCCTGCTGCTGGAGCAAGTGAGAACTCATCCTCCCGACACATCAACTTGACATGGAGTATTGAATCAGTATAGGCATAGGCTGTTTAATAAAATACACTCTGCACAAGCTAACTTGATTTATGTTGCTTTGTTAAACTTCTATGACTGATTATGATCTATTCTTGACTAGGGGGCACGGTTGGCCCAGTCGTCTAAGGCGCAGCGATTCGCTGTGCAGAGTTGCGTCCCTTGGACACGCCAGAAACCTATGATTGTGGGTTCGAATCCCGGTTCGCCCCGATTATGTTTCTAGGTTTGTCAGCACCATACCCGTGCTCGTGGGTTTCACCGAAGTGGTAAACGTCTGAAACCTGCATCACTGCCTCGCTCTCCTCCCACATTAAGCTGACACGCCGCGATATGACTGGAACACTGTTAAACCAAACTCACTCAACCACTCACTATTCTTAACCGTAATATTATGTAAATGCTCATTCATGTATGCCGGTGTTCTCTTTAACAACCGACATGGTTAATGAAGGGTAATTAATATATATTTAATGTAACCTGCACAATCGCTGTCAAAGTTACGCCACCACGTCGTTGTTTGATTCAGTTCGTGTCCGGTACGATTATGCAGTCAATACACTCAAAGTATATACTTGCATGAACCCTGAACATATTCTGACTCATTAACAATCGTCACGCATCACGACTATCGAAGCAAACAACGTACCGACTTTTCTATTACGCATGTAGCAAAACGCAATTTCCAATACCAACCTTGCATTTGAGGTCCCGCGGAATTATTTGCTGATTTTAGTTTTAGATTAAGATATGTGGTTCAAGAAACTATTGGATGTCAAATTGACACCCTTTAGCATTTTGAATACAAAAATACTCTTGCAATCTCAAGCCCGGGGGGAGGACCATGTGGAGGCAAAATAACTTGTTCTGTAAGTAGCACAAAATGGCGTACTTCCTGTCCAGACTGTTTACGTCTTCTTCACTTCATTTTCTTCATGTGCACGAACTTATGTTTGTTGTCCAACTGATTTATGACATATACATTGCAGTAATGCAGTATTGTATGATACATAATAGATAAGTGGGCTAAAATTCAACATGCCATCAAGTTAAGCTTCGTCTGCTAGCCTAAGCAGACTACTGCAATAAAAGTTGCATTAAACCTCATTTTTTGTTGAATTTATAAGAAACACTTATGTATGTATTCGTATGTTCATGTTTGCAAACAATATGCAAGATATACCCCGAAAATATTCACATGAATTGATAGTTTAATGAACACTTTATATCCTACTTTCTGAACACCTAATGATACTGCCCTAGGGTGTCCATTGACTGTGAAAGCAAGGAAGGGCTGTATGTCCATTTTGTAAATGAATTGATTAATCAAACAGATCAAGGTGATTTTATTGATTTGTAGATACTATTTTCACTTGCTTGATAAAGGTGTTAGGTGTTTAGGAATGTTTGTTCAAGCTACCTGGCTGTTGTAGTACCCAAAATCGGAAGCGGATATCTAATTCCACTTGTCAGCATATCATATCTATTATTGATGAAAGCAAGATTCAACTGGGTGACATAAATTTAGAAACTGATCAAAATATTCTTCTTTTAAAGTTAATGAATTATTTTACCACAAAAAATGTGTTTCTTCGTACTCATCAAAAGCCCACTTTAAAAGACTTAGAAAATCATGTCCAGAAATATGCCTTCTAGAACCATTCAAAAAAGAAGCTGCCGTTCAAAATTCAACTTCAACTTTCTAAAGCATTGTGTTATTCTCTTGGAGCCCATGTGAAATTGAAAAAGACTCCAGAAATCTTGGACGATTGAAATGGTCTATTCTTTGCAAAGCTGCAGATGACGGCCAAATGTCATTAAAGAACATAATTCTTGGGACATGTGATGTACGCCAGGATAAGTGGGGAGTTGAAGTACGACTGTGAGTAGGTGAGCTATAAGCGATCTTTATGCTGCAGAAGCACCATATTGTGACAAATGTAGAACACATACACTGAAAGGCAAAAGGAACGTCACTTCTGAAAATACTGATAAAACTTAACAGACACTGGCAGTTACATGTTCTGTGGTCAATAAACTCATTTATCGTTCTACTGCTTCTTTTTGTTGCCTTAAAGTCCATTTAACAATTGAGTTTAAAATGGAGTGCTTTGCCCAAACGCAGCCTACAAAAGTGCAGTGGGACTCAGTTGCGGAAAAGTCTTGTCAAAAACATGATGCACGTGCATATCGTGGATGGTATGGGTGTGAAAGACACCCAAAACTGTTGAGCTGGCTTTCGTTATTTCGATTCATCAGCCATGCCACGATTATCAGGAAATGAGAGACAACAAGCGATCGGAAGACTGCAAGCAGGCCAGAGTGCAGGTCGTTGCAAATGCATTCGATGTCAACGTCAGAACGATATATCGTTTGCAACATCGCCACAACACCACCAACACCACCGACGACCGACCGCGTAGTGGTCGTCCTGGAGTCACTACTCCCAGACAAGATCGGTTCATGATACGCAAACATCTGCAGAACCGATTCCGAATGGCCACTGAAACAGCTCAGCAAACAATTGGCAACCACCAGCGTGCCATCAGTGATCATACAGTCCGACGTCGCCTAACTGCCAACAACATCTCGTGCCACCGTCCTGCTCGTGTACCCATCCTGAGAGATCGTCACCGACAGGCCCGACTGCAATGGGCCGGGCAGCTCAAAATTGGCGTCAACAGCAATGGAGAAGAATCATCTTCACTGATGGAAGTCGCTACTGTGTTTCAACGGTGGATGGCAGAGTCAGGGTTTGGGGAAGGAGGGGCGAACGTTATGCTGATGCTTGTGTTATGTAACGAGACCCGTGGGGCGGCCCAAGCATTATGGCTTGGGGTGGAATTGGACTGAACCAGAGAATGGGACCTGTGGTCTTTCAGGATATTGGTCCAGGCAGGGGTAATGGCATCACAGCTCTCCGCTACATTGACCAAGTCATCAGACCACATATCGTGCCTTTTTTGCCCGTCATCAAAACCAGACCTTTCAGCAAGACAACGCCCGTCCCCACACGTCACCAGGGACTTCCTCCAGCAGCACAACATCCAACTCATACATTGGCCTGCCCTCAGTCCGGATTTAGATCCCATTGAACACTTGTGGGATGAGATTCAACGCCGACTCAACGACGTAGGCCCAAGGCCGACAACTGTAGTAGAACTGCGGGTAGCGTTCCTGAGGCTATGGGCCCATATCCCAATGGCCTTCATCAACAGGCTAGTCCACTCCATGTACAGGAGATGTGTGGCTGTAGTCAACGCCCGTGGTGGCCACACCAGATACCGATTTAGAAACCCCCAGCTGTGATGTCT